GCTGTCGACCTGTCCACGGGGTACCCCGCCTTTAGCCCTGTGACAGGACTAAAGACCAGAAAAACAGTTTTTGGACCCTAGCATCATACAGACAAATTGCATTATGTGAAGCACAGAGCAATGACAGATTACATTTGAAATATTCAACAGCAGCATCTCTTTTCAGGATCAGCAACCTCAGTACTTTGGATAATATGAAGTACAAACTGTGAAAAGTTCGCATTGGAACAAGTTTCCACCAAAGAAATGCTGAGGGGGAAAAAACAGCTGACAGTGAATTCTGTGGATTATCCTGCGTGACAGTCTTTTTTTTTTATAGAAATGTTTTTAAATTGAATTTTTAATATCTCCATTGTACATTTCTCCGGCAGTATCTTATTACCTGGGCAAAGAAACCCCAGCTAAATAACACTATATAAAGTTGGAAATAAGTTTATTCTTAGCAATTTTCTGAAGCGACATTTATGTTGAAAAATAAGTCGGGAGCCTAAGTCCTCATACATAATACTATGTTCAATACCTAGTGATTGGTAGAGCTCTGTCATCTTTGGATGGTCCCAGCAGGTCGTTTGTGTCTGATGACTAAAAATGGAAAAACAGAAGAGAAAACTTAAGAGTGCAAAATACAGAAAATCATGAGCTGACACATAAACAGAACAACTGCTGATGTCTAAACACACACACACACGCACTCATAAATACTTTCTACACTTTCAAGGCTTATCACAAAAAAACAAGATAGAAAAAAAACATTGAATAAGAAAGGTATGCAAAAATCATACAGAGAAACTGAGCAAAATGATAAACAAGTGGAAATACACAGAAGCTAACATTACTTTTATCATCATCATCACTGGAACAGCACAGACACTGTGGACGCTTATATTGGCATCTCTTTTGTTATCACCCCTGAAATGGAGACAGAGGCTACGAATACATCATAAATCACAGAACTCTGAAGGAAACAACACAGACACACACACACCTTTCCTTTCAAATACCATAATAAACATGAGGGGACCAAGTCTAAACCTTCTGTTTACATTTCTGCTTCAGGTAGAAGCCACAGCATGCACGCACACAAACACACACCTAACAGAAACACACACACACCTAACACAAACACACACACACACACACACACACAACACAAATCAAAGCAGTCGGAAAACCAACAGTAGGAGAAGGAAAAAAACAAACAAAAAAAAACCACATTTAAAAAGAATGATCAAACATAGCTGTTTCGCCTGCCAATCACTTCTTTTATTTATTATTCTGGCCATGATGTGGCCTTACGTGTGTGTGTGTGTGTGCACACACCTGCATAATATTTCAAGGAGGCACCTGGCTGTCAGAAGCCACACTCAGATCTGCGTGGGATGTTTGAGGAGTTTTCTGGAAGATGTTTTTTTTAAAAGATAAAAGTCTGCTTCAGAATGCAGAAGCTCCCCTGTGGATTCTGCGATGGCTCGCTCTCTGCTGACAGTCGGCAGGGAGTAAAGCCGAGTGCTGACAGAGAAGCGCAGCGGCGAAGTGGATGGCATAAGCCCTCCTCGTGCGCAGATGTTCATCGCTATTCAATGGCTACGCAGACTGGTGACCCTTTTCACACCTGAGCAGGCATATTTAACGCCGGGACATTCCTGCACTAAGGACCTGCGAAACATTTGCCTAAATTGTCAAAGGCTGGCAGGGGATTCGCTGATATTTGCTCCACACAAACGAACACGAGGAGAAAGAGCACGATCTCTATGCAGACCACATTCGCAAGCAGCTATCACCAATAAAACGTTTTTTTACACCGACGTGTCGAATGGTACATGGCAGACGAGACAGAACTAGTACACTGATAGGATACACATGAACTCACAAAACATCAAAAATCAGACTTCTGTACACACACACACACGGCAGCCAGTATTTCCATCACCAGAGAGATTAGACAGCTTGTGCTCATATCCACAGCTAATGAATGCCATGATGGGGACAACTGAATTGTCAAATTTAACTGTCTTCACTTCTTTCCCCTCAACATATTCCCTTTGCAATGTCAATCCTTTTGTTGTCCTGTAGGAAGGCAGGGGGGGGGGGAAAAGAAAGCTAAGTGAAGTGATGGCACACTTATGACAAAGCTGTTACAGTTTAGATGGCGCAGTGTGAAACATTCATCCACAGTAAAATTCAGGGTAAGGTTGGCTTTATACAAACAAATCACGCTTGACGGCTTGATTCAGTAAACACACATTAGAACTAAACCGTTACAACATTTTACCATGGATGGCTAACTTTGCTAAAGAGCAAAAAATCTGTGTCTATTTCACACTGGCTGGACTTCTGTGTTGACGATTATCCCCAGAGATGATCACTGTGTCTCAGCTGTTTTTACCTGACTGGAAACAGCAGCTTTCAGTGGAAAAGCTGAAAGGCGGTGCGTCAGGCTGGGAGTAACACTAGGAGCATGCTTGTTATTTTTGTTTGGGTTTTTCCTCCTTTTTTTCCCACTGGATTGTGCACTGTAAATTTATCCCACAGGGTCAAAACATCTACTATAACATCCTGAGTTTTCGTGCCCCAAACTTTGGTGCATGCCCAAGTTTTTTTATTCACTTCCCTAAAATTCAATCCAAGTTTAATGGTCATGATCCAGAAAACCTTGAAAGGTAAACCGACAAAATTTAGGAGTGGACTTGAGCCTAGATGGACAACTGGAGACCAGACGGCCGAGTAGTCATGCCCATTATGCTTCTTTGAACTCTGCTGCTTTGGCTCATACGTGTTTAGCGCATTGTAATGTAAATTCAGACCCTCCTTTTTCAGGAATATTGTTTAGCTCACACTGTAGTCAACAAATAGCTTTCACACCAGCTTGACTAATCCAAATGGTTGAACATAGAAGCATTCTTGAATGTTTCACTGACTGGGCATATCAGTGATCACGGGATGTCGTTGACTTGTAAGTCCTAAGCCTGTCCTCAGCATTGTTGTTCATTCTGGCTTTTATCACTGATCCCTGTTTAGTGTCGCCAGCAGCAGATGCAAACACAGCACAGCTGTCACTCCCTCTCTTCCTACGCTCCAAATCCTATTTATCTCCATGCTGTTGTCTGAGCGAAAATCTTTTATTACCTTATGAAATTAAGCCAGGTTATGAGTCAATAAATTAACTAAGCTACTTTTAATTGTTTAATTGGTGATTTTACGATGGATAAGTGTCCTTTACTAACTTTCAAGAAGCATTTGAATGCACCACAAAGTTCAAAAACACTCCAAAAGCACACCATGATGCAAGGCTGCCAATTTCAATCGAGTTGAGCATCTGAAGTTATTTCATTCCAATATCTCGAGCTTTTCAAACTCAAGAATTAGCGTGATAGATATTGAACGCATTCCTCGACATTGATTTCCACAGTGGAAAATGACTTCTCATATGCATCAAATTAAAAGGAAATTCAATTAGAAACAAGGCAATTAAAGCGGCCACTGATGACACGTAGTGGTTTTGCCGATTCGTCAGGCAGCGGATAACTGCGAGACAGGAGACTGGAGATGAATCCTCTTGGGTCTTGTTTAATGCATGTGACATTTTCCCCTCATAAAAGTCATTAAATGACATCTCAGAATAACCATCTACAAGTCGAACGGCGTCACAGAAAGGGGATGCAGCAGCAGGCACAAAGAAAAGGATGATATTTACGTATCCACAAGGGTACTGTGAGGGGAAAATAACCTTTTACAAGATGTTTTAATGAGATTTCTGTCTCACCAAGTCAGCAAAATAGGCAGCTGAAGTTATATGACATAAATAATACGATTTGACCCTCTTAGATTAACTGATCATAATAATAATAGCAGTTTAGCTTATCAAGCTTGTGTAGCTTTACAATTTCCAGCTACTTAGAGTCTCATTGAAGGTTAAAGTGGTTCTGCTAATTACTACGACTTCATTGGTGCTTCTTAAAAATAAATTATAACCACAACAACCTCCTACTCTTTCCCTCTACCCTAGAAGTAACCTAGAAGTTTCATATTTCCTGAGGGAAAAGCCAAAATCCTTCTTGCATAGATCTACAATCACAGCACGGCCGGAGACGATTCCCTAAAAACTAAAAACGGCAACAGTGTGGCCAAACACGTCTGCAGTCGCTTTGCTGGTGGGTGGTGGGAATTTGTCACTGTCACACGCTCAGAGACTTTCATGAATAATCATGAGCGTGCACTTGAATGATTAGTAGCATATCTGGATATCCAAAGAGACAGAATTAGGGAAATATCTGAGTAAGCACGAGGAAGATTTCAGGAACTATTTTTTTCCCCCCACTGACAGCAGCCTGCCAGGCTTATCACCAAGTGTCTGTGACAGGTGATAAGTGCCTGCATTCACCACCTGACATCTTCTGTCTCTTACCGCTCCACCTCCACCCTTCCTTAAAAAGCCACCCCCATCTTTCCTATAATAGCATCTCCCTTTTTTGGGCTTTTGAGTTACGGTTCAAATAGTTTAGGATTCCTATTAAAACTTCCTAAACTAGACATCCTGAGGAGCATACTGTCACAGTGAGCACAGTGGTTGTTTTTTTTGGGTTTTTTTTGGGGGGGGGGGGGGGGTTATTGCTAGGCTCAACCCCACCATAACCGTTTGGCACCATTTCACAGTGCCAAATGTCTCCTAACACAAACACAGACAGACAGCACAACCAAAGATTTCTTCGAATGTCGAGAGGGTGCCAGTGGTGAAATGGGAAAGCATATGAGGTTGCCAGCATGATGCAATAAATACACCGGACTTATGTGAAGCCATTTCAGTTTCCCCACAAAATGTCACTGGAACTGCTCGCTACAGGGGGTGGACAAAGACACAGTTTTAATCAGAGGCCCTTTGTCAGCCCGGAGAAAAGAGGCAGAGTATGAAAGGAGATGGAAGACGAGATGGGGAGGAGTTTGGGGAAATGAATGTTTCAGAGAGAGACACTGATGTCCCAAGGATGTCGAGGCACAAAAAGCGACCCGTGATTAGTCCTGGAGATGGATTTAGACTTGAATTCAAACAACAAATTAGGTGGAATTTTATAACTGCCTCCGAGGCCGAATGTGTGGATGTGAGAGAGGAGGATACTGCTGTAGACTAGCTTCAATTTCAAATAGAAAAAATATATATCACTGCTTGTGTCTCTAAATACATTTCTGTGTACAGTTTTCTGTGAATACCCCTGTGTTTTGTTTGCGTGTTTGTATTAGTGGGTGGACGGAGGTTCATTGGCTGGCCACATCTGTGATCACAGGCTGTTGTTGACTCTAAAGTTATAAATCCTGTCCTCCGAGTCACTGGCTTTCACATCTGAACCCTTTCTAGTGCCAAGATGCAGGCCCAAACCCAAAGCAGGTGTCCCTCCCCTCTCTCTCTATATAAATCCCATGTTTGTCTTCGTATAGACATTACCTAGCTCTTTAAAGGGGACCTATCATATAAAACAAAGATTTTTTTCAGACGCCCTTACTGTTGACACCCAAATTAAGAGGGTAAGAAGCAGCCAGGTGCTGCTAATCAAATGCTAATCAAGTGCACCTCAGCACCTAAGCACCAGTAAGTGTGAGCACCTCTATAAAAGCAGAAGCTTTGGCAGTTTACTGTTCTGGAGAAAGTGGGTGTGTGAATACAATGCCAGACTTCCCAGGTATGGACATCCCAGCAAATTCACTCCAAGATCAGACCATGAAATGCCCAAAGAGCTACATCTCAGACTCTACAGGCCTCAATCGGCAGCTTAAATGTTAGAAATGTTAAAGTTCATGAGAGTACAAGGAGAAAAGAACTTAACAAGCATGGATTGTTTGGAGATAAAGAGAGAAATCCTCTCTGAAAAACAAAAAACAAAGCACAAGACTTCTGGAACAATGCCCTTTGACTATAATGCGTTTGGCAAACAGCATATCAGCTCTAACTGTTAAGCACGGTGGCAGAGGGGTGATGATTTGAGCTTGTTTGGCAGCCACAGGGAACCTCACAGCCATAAACTCCTCTGTGTAACAAATATGAGGCTGACAGCTAAATAGTGACTGAAATGCTGTGGCGGGACCTCAAGAGAGCGGTGCATAAACAAATACATACAAACCTCAACGAAGTGAAGCCACGTTGTAAAAAAGATTGGTTCAAAATGTCTCCACAATAGTGTCAGAGACTGAAAGTCAGGCAGAAAACGGTGTTGTCTTGTTATTCCATCTAAAAATGGCTTTACATGCCACTTCCTCTAAAAACACAAGGCTTTTAGACACCATTCACAAGGCTGTACATAAACATTGTCTTATTAACATGATTTAACACTTAAGCCTCTTGATAACGTCCAGCAAAAAAGATTATTATGAAATTTTGTTTTTCTTCGTTACTGCCTATATGCACACAAACGCATCACCAAATAAACAACAACAGACAAATTTTCTACATAAAAATAAAACTATCCAAGCTGAGATTGTGACCACACTTAATAATATAGAATCTTTTGGAAAATGAATTCATCAAACTTTTTTTGAAGACATTTAACTCGTTACTGAAACATGACTGTATCTTTAAATCTTCATAGCTGTAGCTTTTATTGTGGACTGTTCTGTGGACAGTGTACAAGTGGGGTTTTTCCCTTGGGTAAATGGCCATTTGACAATTTTAACTGAGCTAGTGACATTTCCACTCAGGGCACAGGATGATTTAGGAGGGCAACCTGAAAAAACGCTACCACTTTATCATCTTAAAAATAAATACAGGCAGTAACAGCGTTATAAAAGAAACCAGAGAGCAGCAGAACTGATAAATGATAGCTGAAATAGAGTTTTCTAACCGCTAGACAAAAATAAGTGTGAATCTGGTTAAGGCAGCAATTTACTGAGGTACAGTTAGATGTTTTTTGGATAATGAGGTCCTTTATGCTTTCAAAACTGACATCTCCTAAGCAGTAGAAAAGCTCTCCTGGACGCCATTTCTACCCGTTTAAGCAAAAACCTGCAGTTTGGAGTGATTTGGCAAAAAATTTGAATGGGAAGCGAGATGTCAAGCTAAAGTCATTACAGTCCTGGGATTCAGCCAGATATTATCTATTCAAAAGGAAGTGCTACTGTTGAACTGAATGTGAAATGTGCAGGTGAAACAGCCTGAATGGTAATTTACAGACAAAAACCAATCGCGAGAGAAAGAAGTTCTTAATTGGATGACAAAGAAAATTCACAGAAAATACAAAGGAAAAACAAATAGCTACTAAGATCCAAGACCAGGCGGTGTTTACACAACACAAGAGGTCACAGCTCTGACGCACAAAAGAAAAAACTGAAAAGATCAGATAATAATGAGCCATTTCACAATCAGCTCTCAGCATTTTCAAAATGCAGATCAAAAAAATAGTATCTATTCCGTCTGCACCATACTGCCCGCATCTGAATCTACCTTGAGATGAATAAAGGTGTCATAAATGTGCAAACTTCAACTTGTCTACCAAATCTGTTACTTAAAGGCAGAAAAGATCGTATGACAGTAAAGACTGTTTTCACATGTGAAACGAACACAATGTCAGGAGATTCAGATCAGGACATTAAATGAATGTAAATGGTAAATAAACCGGTTCTATATAGAGCTTTTCAATTCCATGTGAGCGCTCAAAGCACTCAGGAGGTAGGAGACGGTCAAAAGTAGCAGTTGCTCCTGATCACTTGAGTGTGAATGCATAGTCTACTTGAGCACTCACAGCACTTTATACAGCATGCCTCGTTCACCCATTCAAACCCCATCATACATTATCATCAGTCAACACCAGTCATTTTCTGCACCTACTATCTAATCGGCTTTAATCACCAAGGGGTCGAACCACCAACCTTCTGATTTGTGGATGACCTGCTGAGAGGGTTTAGACAATGATGCTGCCTGAGTAGAGCGTCCAAGAGACATGACACATGGCACCAGCCTGCTCACTGTCACTTCAACAGACAGTTACCTACACTATTCTCAGATAAGTACAAATGAACTTTGCACGGACTTAACTTTGGGGAACTGACTGTTTAAAAGGAAGAACTTATTGCAAAATTACAAAAGGGTCATGCCCTATAAATACTCCCTTAAAAGCCTTAGAGGTCCTTTAGGAGATTACTTTACAAAGTTGCACAGTCTAGACTTGAAATATTCTACTATGGTCATACGCCGCAAAAGGTCATGTAATAAAATTCAGGTGCTTGAGACTACCAGTGGGCAAAGAAACTCCAAGAATGAAAATTAAAGCAAAGTCAAATTTGATTGGAAAAAAATCACTCACACACAATCATTCCATTCCATTTTTTTCTAACCTACTACAGCACACAGACAGACGCATGCATACAGTTTATACAGGCACAGTGAGTGCTATCGAAGCCATTTCTCGCCACTTACTTGATGTAATAAGGAACCTTATTCTGAGAAACTGCACGTTGCCAGGGGAGCTGTACAGATGCTGCAGACAGAGAGAGACAAAGATAAAGAGAGCAGTGAGATGAGGGGAAAGACAAAAAGTTGGGCAACTAAAATCCAAACGCCACCTTAACAAATGCTGCACAATTCCACCAAGCAGTATAATAATCAATTTAGTGTTTGGACCTTGACTTGAAATAATTTTTACATCTAACACTTCCATTATAACACAGTCTAGATGTATAAGGAAGACTCTCACAGAGCATGAAATTGGGGTGGGGGGTGGGGTAAATGGATATTGTTTTCTTGGCAGAAAATCCAGAGGAGGGAGACAATAGGACATGAAAGAAAAGATTTTTGTTTTTTTAAATAGAGGTAGAAAAAACTGGGGGCACAAAACAAGACAAAAAACACAGACAAGCAAGGGAAATCTTAAAAACGACGAGCTGATACAGTGTTAAAACCAGACAAATATAACTCTTGAGATGCTCTCAAAAGCAATAAGAAGCAGAAATGTTACTTGATTTATCGCCCTCCCACTTTCCCTCCTCCTCGACACAGCTCTACACTCCGATATAAAGATGAAAAGACAGTAAGAGAAAGAGATTAGGCGAGATTGGGAGATATACGAGATGGATAGGGCACGATAAGAACGCACTACTTTATTGATCCCTCGGGGAATATTAAGCTACTAGTGTAATGAGAGCGAATGTGTGATGGAGAAGATAGTGTCATAGTGCCAGGAAGATGAAAGAAGAGACAGAGTGGTGTTTTGTCTGCGTGCAGTTGTTGAGCTCTCAGCAGCGCTTACTTTGTAAACTCGTGTCTGTTGGTGACACAGCATGCCGGCTGAGCCTGCCACCTGCTCTGAATCGCACACCGTCCATTTTGTCTCCGTGTCTGACAGCCAGCAAAGCAAATCAGGTGGAACGGGGAGAACACTAATGGCTGTATGATTATAGAAAATGACGAAAGTCAGAGAGGGAGGGAGAGCGCGACAGAGGCGCAGGGAGCCGGAGTCTGGCTGCTCTGTTTAATGTTCACGCTTCTGCATTTGTCTTTTCTCTCCAGCTTTGTCTCCAACTCTCTATGCTCTGCTAATGACCACTCTAAAGAGGGAGGGAGAGGAAGGAGTCAGTGCAGAGCTGTAATTAAGCCCTGCATTATTCATGAGTGAAGTGGCGCGTCTGCACGCTATGTGTATGCACGTGCCCACTGAGCATCCATGACGGCAAAGCATATGGCTGAGGATGAAAATACGGGGCATGGGAGAGAAATTGGACGATGTGAAACTGTGTAACTGAGTGGAATCAAACCAAGTCACCCCAAATCTATAATTTCCTTAGAGAAGTAATAGGCTCGGTACTCACTGGAGAGGAAATGTTGAGAGGAGGGGCCAAAGTCTCTGTGGGCTTCTTGAAGGAGCTTCAGTCTGTCATCCACTGCCACCTGTATGACCACACACACACACACACACACACAAAGAAGTCAGCTGTGGGCTGGCAGGCTCTGCTCGCACAGACAGAACTTTACAGTGGCTAGAGAAGTAATAGGCTCGGTACTCACTGGAGAGGAAATGTTGCGAGGAGGGGCCAAAGTCTCTGTGGGCTTCTTGAAGGAGCTTCAGTCTGTCATCCACTGCCACCTGTATGACCACACACACACACACACAAAGAAGAGACAGTCAGCTGTGGGCTGGCAGGCTCTGCTCGCACAGACAGAACTTTACAGTGGCTAGACTTGGCGTCATGGTTGGAAAGAATTCAATTTCAGTGCAATTAAGTTACAAGTGGATTTTCTGTAAGACCCCAACTCAAGAAACTTTATTTCCAATAGAGGTATACATACACACAGTATCACGTCTTGACTTGACTCACAGGCACTTGGTGTCAATTTCAGGACATTTAGCATTGTCTGGAAATTATAAAGCAGCTTTAATTAGCTGAGCACATGTCAAACCCACAAACAGCAGGTAACTGAGTGCTTACATGCACATGTCAGCTAATAAGTATCTACACCGGATGCAGTCAATCACAGTACGGCTGTATGCTCGCACACAATGAGCTCAAACCCATAGCAAATCACTGCAGTGACAATTACAGGTAACTGTGGACCAAAATAGACTTGCAGGTCACAAATCCGCCATCTAGTGTAGACACATGGTGCTGGGGCCAGAGGGAAACCCATTATCCAGATTTCATGGAAGTGTGCCATGTGCATATGTGACCGTAATGGGAAACAGAGCATTAATGGAAGGTTTTTTTAAAAATTGAAAAATGAAGAGATAAACTCAACGGGGAAACACATAAGAAGCTAAATCAGGCAGCACACAAGAACACTAAGTTTCCTAAATCTCTACTTTTGAGCTAATCCCACAAAAACAACAAATATATATTAATATGGGTCGATCAGAAACATGCTCGTGCAAAGATCAGCAAAGTAACATAGCACCAGAATCACACTGTGCCTATTTGTGTGTTCACATAAAATCTTATATACTTTCAAAATCAATGGTAAAACACTGCTGTTTACTCCATGTTATTATCTCTACTACTACTTCAGCTTGCTTACAAAAAATAAAAAAAACTTGTGTGAAAGGCATTTAAGTTATCAATCACTCAGACTCTTACTCCCGCGCTCCTTTGAGAGCCGTGTATTGACCTCTCAGGCACTGCACCTGTGCCCTGCCGCACATGATTTGCTTTGCTCCATCATTCCGACTAGCTGGACAGCATTGGCAGCCTGTAATACTGAGACTCGCACATTCACACATGAGCCTCGGGTATTAAATCAGCCAGATCACAGAGGGATCCTGGAAATGGGTACAGAAAGACCAGTAGCTCAGTTTCTTTTTTTGGCCACTTAGTGACTATTATCCTCACTCTCCCGCAGCAAGGAAGATGGTAGCTGTCTGGAAATGAAAACCAAACCATCAAACTACACAGCCAGATCTGGCTTATTAGTGAAGCTGAAGCCGTCCTGCAGACTGAAAGAAATGAAAAGAGCGGACAACAGAGAGAGACAGAATGAAACTAAGCCCTTCTCTGACTCACAATCTAAATTATAGTCATATTCCAGGCAACAAGACTGTTAGTGGGTATCTGTGCAGTGCACTGGAAAAAAAAAAATCACAGGGGCTACAAATTAGCACAGCTAACCAGTTTTGCTTAGCGGGGAAAGGGGGCCACATTTCTTTTCCTGCTTAAATTCCCGAATAATGCAACCACACTGTGTGCCTCAATTATAAACAAAAAACATTGCACTAGAAAAAAACTCTACATCTGTCTCATGTCCACAGCTGAGAATCTAACCTGTATTTAGTTCCTCTATGTGACAAAGTGGGTGAGAACACCATTTGTCCATATTCTTAGTTAACATTCTTGTTTTGATTTAACCATATTTCATATGTAGTCTGCAGGAGGCAAACATCTACTATCCCGGGTTTGTTTAGGTTTTGCACTTTTACAGATTATATATTTGTTAAGTTAACATGTTATTTATTTCAACTGTTAATTGGTGTAGTTTGAACTCACCTTACTTACCTGTGTTCCAGGAACAAAAGGAGGAAATTATAGTTTTACTTCCTGTATTTATAGCTTCCTGGTTAATCTGAGGTCACAGGAAGACACCAGGTGAAGAACAGGGAGAATTTTAGACTGTATTTATACAGAAATGGATTTATTGGTGCAATATGTATTGATTACACCGTAGAGATTTTATTGCTAGTAAAGAGTAGCAGTATAGGTTTGAGTATGATAATGTTCATCTTATCTACTGAATGGAATAGTCCAGGGGTGAGTGGACTATTTAAGCAGATGAATGCAGGTGTTCAGGGGGAAAGGACCAGGTCAGTGTAGCAGTGTGCAGTTTGACCTTAATTTCCATTGATTTAAGTTCAGTTATGTTTATTTGAACTGAGCTAACTATGGAGTTGAGCTTCGTCGTCTTCTTTTTTTTTTTTGTAAATAAGGTTTGATCACAAAATGGTGAATAAATCACTTGCTACACTGGACAGCACCTGTCTCCTGCCATTCTTAGCCGCTTAGGTCAAGTCCTACCACACTCTACCACTGCAGATCTCAAGCATCACTGGGTATCAATGCCAAGGACCCTAAATCTAAGAGACATGACAGAAAAGCTACTTTGGCATAGCAATCTAGAGATTAAAAACTGACTAACAGTGCACCTTTAAGTTTAAAAATCCCCAATTAGAATACAAAAATTACTGAAACTTGTCTAAAGGACATCTACACAACTCCAGTGCTCATGCTCAAAACCCACTCCTCTTCCATCTCCTTGTAATAACTTGTTAAGAGACTTTTTCACGACTTCTCCTCGAGGTCTGAGACATGTTCAACTCTGAGAAACACTCGTGACTATCTAGCTGTGACTATCAAGCGTGCAGAGAGCCAAGGATGTGACCGGTGCGCTGCGAGAATAGTGACCATTGATGTGTAGTGACAAAGTGTCGCACTGAACATAAAGCTGCGTTCAACTAAAACAAGTAAACAGGGAGAGGGACGGCTCCAAATTCCCCGTGTGTTCGGCTGACAAAGTAAAATTGACATACAGTGAAAAAAAGCGAGGGAGACACAAAAAACAAAAACAACGAGACAGTGCAGTCTCCTTTGAAGTCATTTAGACAACTGTGACAAAATATAGAGGAAAAAATGCACACACACACACACACACAAAAAACCCTACTCCTGCTCCAAAATCTGTAGCTGTTTCAGGGGGATTTAAAGTACCTGTAAAAGTTTCCACCTCATGTTGAGCTGGTCCAGCTGTCTCGAGGCTGTGGACGACAGCTGAATGTCCAATGGTGTCAGCTCAGCAGAAAGCTCATTGACAATTCGAACGTCCTGACGCAACGGGGCAATCTCCTCTCTGAAGGCCTGGGAAAAAGATGATAGCGTATTTGTATTATACTTGTGAGATTAGCCTAAAAAAAATATGCTTTAGTCCAAACTGCTGACTGCTGTTTGTTTATCCCTTTCTTGCTTGACCACCTAAAATCTAACAAGTTTTCAGCTTCAGCTTTAAAATTTGCATTTAAAAAGTCTCCTCCGTGTACTGTCCTACCTGTCTCCCATATTAGAGACAAGTGCTGCTCTGATTGCAATCAAATCTATCAACAGACCGTTTAATCTAAAGTAGATCGCTAAATGACACGGATATAAAGAAACACGAGTGCCCGGACTGGCTGTACCTCAGGTGATTAAGATCTGAAGTGCAGCAGAGAGAGAAATAAGTGCAACAGCTGAATTTGCAGCCTGTGAATCGTGACCTGGCTATTTTCAGTGCCCCTTTGTCCTCCGCGTCTCGACTCTTTCATTTGTTGTTTACAGTTTACAAGAAGATGCTCTCATTTTTCTTGCTTGTTAAATTAAATTTGTTGCTTGTTTCTCGGCCGGTTCTCCTTGGCAAAACGAGACATCCTCAAATATGATGTGTAAACAAACAAGACTATACTGAGTCTCCTCAGAGTCTCCTCCTCCTCCTCAAATGAAGTAGCACTTTCTTTAAAAAACACACACACACAAAAAGTAAATAAAGAACCAGGGAAACCATTTTATAACGGAAAACAACATGATTTGTTAAACAGAACTCAAACTGAGCATATCTGACAGTATAAGAGGGATGGTTATGGTTCATTAGCAAAAATCTGACCCTCTGACTCACCGTGGTTCTATCGATGTGATCCTGCAGAGAGTCGATCAGCAGATCGCCCACAGGCTGCCAGGTAGCTTTGGCCTCCTCTGCCCGAGTCAGCCGCAGGTCAAGCTGGTCCATGGAGCTCTGCAGCTCTTGGAGTCGCTCCAAGGCTCGCTCCACCTGACTCTGCCAACCGCCCACGTGCCCTTTCAGACGCTCCCACCGCTCCCTCACTTCACCAGATTGCTTTCGGATAGCCCGGGCCAAACCTCGGGCCTTCTCCTCTGGTGTGAGATCTGAAAGATAAAAAAAAGAGAATACGGGAAATAAAGAAGCACGCCATTTTGTGGAGAAATGCTCATGGCCTTCATTATCATTTCATATTTTGTTCAGTTATTTCTTCACAATATGGTAATGAAAGGCATTTATTTCAAGACTACTTCTATAAAATGGAAGAAATGATAGAAATGCATTTGTAATGTGTTCAAATTCTTGCACTGAACCGGATCTTTTCTTTTATTTCACAGTCCTTGACTTCTTTCCCGCGCTGCAAACAGACTCTCCCACACTGCTTTACTTGCAAAAATACACATGCTTGTGACATTTCAGTGCTAGAGCTTCCTAAAAACAACCTTTACCATCTTCAACATTTAATTATTGTTCTCTAAATACATACTTCTACAACAAAAACACCGAAGAGACCTGTATAAATTTTCATTAAAGTCTCTTCTTTTCTCTTCCTAAGATGATGTGGCAGAAGATTCTGAAGAACTATGAGCCATTTATCTGCAAATTTTACTATTATTATACAGCTGAATAATCCCTTTGTGATCATTTTTTTCTTTTATTGCACATTCCTTCAGTAGTTGCACATCCTTCATGTCTAAGTCTGACCCTTCTATGACTCATCTGCAAACCTGACACTCATCGACAAATCAAGCTCCAGAACAATATAAACCCCAGCCCTTCGATCCTCTTTCTGACTTTGTACTGCCTGGTAGAAAAACTACAGTCTTGTCAGAACTTGTGAATGGATATGTAGAATTTTCTGACCCTTAGAACTAATTCTTTTGTCCCTTTGTGTCTCAGGTCTACCAACTTCTTTCTAGTAACAACCTGAACTACTCCAAACTGCACACGCGCCTCTTCTCCATCGCTCTCGCCAGCCTTGACCTGCTCTCTGACACACTATCTGCCAAATTCAGCTGCTTTCAAGTCACAAATACGACCTGCTGAACTATTCACTGTTGTCCCTGAATTCAGCTTTTGAGCCCTCACTTCTTCAGTTAAAGCTTTGATCCCGTACTAGGTAAATGAGCGACACTCAACACGAGGAGAATGGAGGAGCAAAGGAGAACAGGAGGGCAGAAAAATAAGAAAAGAAGGTAGGACGCTGAAGCTTTAAATAAAGTCAAGGCTTGATCAAAGAGAAAGACAGAAAAAAATGAGAAAGACTGAGGGTCTAAGAAATGACAGAAGTCTAAGAAGTCAGAAGGTGAGAAGACATGACGACTGTGGCGTATAGGAGAAAACTGCTCCCCAGATAATCATTTTAACTGCAAAAAAGATGAGCAGCTCTAAGGAGTTCTTAGGTCTTATCTCCAGGGTAGTGACTGAATTACCATCTTCACCTGTTGCACCTCTGCAATCTCGCTTTTTCTCATCTTGCTCCCGGCATACAAAAACGCCTGACACTGCAGGAAGCCTCATGTCACTGCTGATACTGATGGTGTCTGTAGTTCATAAAGAAGAATGATGCACACAGGCAAAGTAATGTAAGCTCGTTTGATTGTCTTTACAAAGCATTACTATACTAATACACTATCAGAGTGTTACTCTGACACATTCAATATCCTCTCGTTACACCACAAGCACAGCTTCTGATCTTAAATTAGCTTGTTTTAAAAAAAAAAAAATCTATTTACTGTATTCAATGAGATGACACTTTGATATCTGCATCAAAGACCACAGACAACAAGCCTATCGGTCTGCGCTCTGAAGTCTCGCCACACCCCTATACATTCCCTTGGGTCAGTTTAATTATTTACACAGTAGGGGTTTAGTTAGAAGGGAAATATGCTGACCTAACGAAGACTTCCCTGCTGCACCCAAAAAGAGACAGAGAGGGAATACTGAATGAGTTGGTGTATTTGTAAGCCCAGCTCCTTGTCTATTTATACTACCTTCAACCGAGGTAACACCTTAAATGATTTTAACCTCAGAAGTGAGACAAATAAGACCTTAGATTCTGGTTCTTCAAACTGGCTGAAAAGCAGACATTCTTGTGATTGATGACAGGTTAAGGTACCTAAAACAAAACCCTTGTGGAGCAGAAAAGAAGAAGTTTCTTCTGGCAGTTCTCCCATTTACATCAGGTTATCACAGCAGATGGATCCATATATTTGATTTTGCACAGATTTGAATGCTGCCCTTCCAGACACCCGCACCACCACCACCAGGTATCTGTGCCTCTGTGATCTTTTGCATATTAAGCAAATGTGTTAACCATTACACTATGGAACTTAAATCCAACTAAAAACCTTTAACAAATGACTTTGTAGGATGCAAGCCGCAACCTTTTCCAGCTCCTTTTTTTATATTGTGGCTCAATTTCGGGGGCACCACAGCACGTCATCTGCAACCACCTCACCCTCTCTTTTGCATCACATCACCCCCCTGCATGTTCCTCCATCACTACCTTCTTGAGAACTTTCTCTGAGGTCTTTCTCCTCCTTACCGCCAGCTCCATATTTCACATCCTTTGTCCAGTGTATGCACTATCCCCCCGTTACACATGTCCAAACCATCTCCTCTTGCTTTGCTTACACTGTCTCCAAAATGCTTAGCTGGCACTGTCCCACTGACACACTGTGACACTAAATCTGTCCCTCCAGGTCACTCCCGAACATCTTCATCTTCATCCACCTCCTCTCTTTGAGTCAGACCTACCACCTCCAAACCATACATCATAGAGGGTTTCACAACAGTGTTAACAACCTTCCTTTTCAGTGCTGCTGCTATCCTTCTGTCACTATGCCTGAAAAATGAAAACAAGGTACAGGTGCCAAAAACTAGAGTTCTTTCAGGGGCCAAAGGTCCAACTTTACAACAGAAGCAAACATTGAAACAGCTTCAACAAAGACATTTTTGTGTAGCTAATGTATATATGGGTGATCTTTTTTGATAACTCAACAGCCTAAATTGCATTAAATTTAGTGGTGTGGCAGTATTAATTGTGGATGGCTTCAAAACAGGGCTTTA